TGAATAAAAATATCTGTCTCTGTGACATATTTTTCTCTACTCTTATGGCATGCATTTTCTCAACTCTTGTGGCACGATCCTTATGGTTTTTGGTACGTTTTTCGCATACCTTTGCAGTCGTTTTGGTTCTCGCACAAAAACCATCACGACATTTATTTTCTAATTGGTTTGTCGGTGGTCACGTATAGTCAGATCCCCCATTTGGTAAAAGGTTATTTCCCGATGTAATCAGACTTGTGTAGCTAAACAACGTGTCAGATTGTTTGGTTAGCCCTCCACTCCTTTATCACTTCGTAAAATGTCTCATTCGTCAGAGACACTGAGTTTTTATGAAGGTTATTAGGTTTTAATTTGGTCATCATTCTCAATGGAAGGTTTTATATTTCTTCGTATCTTTAGGATTAATATTTTACTTTTGTATGAGTATTTTGGTGATTATTGTCTCCAAAATTTTCTCTATAAAAGCTTCATAGGAAGCCTTAAAAAATAAGAGTTTTTCAGAGAAAGGATGACCATAAAAAAAAGGCAAGGAAGAGCATATACAACAAAACAGATGGTTGAAGACTGTCAAGAACTGCCTATTGAGTTCAACAGAGAAGAAATTGAAAAACTAAAAAGCTTATTGGGGTCTCTAGAAAAGCCTTAATCGACAAGTACTTGTAGTCTGGTTTTCTTAAGTATATCATCTTCTTAGGACTCTAAGGTCTCTGATTTACCTACCCAAAGTTCCTGGGTAATTGACTCAGGGGCTATAGACTACATGACAAATTATCCACTTAGATTTATCATCTATACACCTTGTCCTAGGAATAAAAAGATAATAGTAACATATGGTATTATGGTAACAATGGTTGGTCTAGGAGATACTATTATAAGTGAAACCCTTACACTAAAAATGTCCTTCATGTACCCAAACTATTTACTAATTCTTATTTCAATCCAAAAATTACCAAGGACACTAATTACAGTGTTCTCTTCCATCCCACTCAATGTATTTTTAGGAATAAGAAACGAGGAGAATGATTGGATGTGCTAAACAAGTGAATAGTCTATATTGCCTTGAAGATCCCAGTGGACAAGTCAATGCCTTGAGTTATTCACCATTGTCCGTTTTTTCAGAATCTAAAATCAATAAAGACCAAGTATTCATCACCTTCTCCTAGGTTATCCATCCTTTAAAGTTATAAAACTTATGTTTTCTGCTTTTTTCAAATCCTTAAATGTTGAAGAATTTCACTGTGACATTTGTGAACTTGCAAAACATAAACAAACTTTTTTCCCAATGAGCAATAAAATAACCCTAACACCTTTTGCTCTTATTCATAGTGATGTTTGGGGGCCATCCACCATTCCAAATATAACTGGGGCTCGATGTTTTGTTTCTTTCATAGATGATTGTACCCGAGTGTCATAAATATTCCTTCTAAAATAGAAATCAGATGTAAGCTATACATTTAAGACCTTTTATACCATGATTAAGACTCAGTTTAGAGTCGATATAAAACAGTTTTGAACAGATAATGCTAACGACTATTTCAACCAAGTCATATCACCCTATTTTCAAGAGAAAGGCATCATAAATGAGTCTTCTCATGTTAATACCCTTCAATAGAACGGTATGGAAAAAACAAAGAATGGCCACATCCTTGCCCTAACAAGAACCCTTTTGTTTCAAAAAAATATACCTAAACAACATTGGGGGAAGCTGTGTTAACTGCCACCTATATGATAAAAGGCGGCATACTGAAGCCCTTGAGTCCCAAAGCCCTATCCAAGTTCTAACTAGTTTCTTCCCAAGTTTCAGTCCTCCACTTAAACTTAAGCCCAAAATATTTGGTTGTGTTTCTTTGTTCATATACACTGTCAAAATAGGGGTAAGTTTGATCCAAATTTATTGAAATGTATCTTTGTTTGCTACTCTTCTACTCAAAAGGGGTACAAGTGTTATCATCCACCTACATGGAAACATTTTGTTTTTTTGCTGATGTCACCTTTGTAGAAAAAGAAAATTATTTTACTCGTCCTTATCTTCAAGGGATATTTCATTCAGGGGAGATAAGGACAAAGATTGTTTCCTACTTCAGCCACTTTTTGACGTTCCTACACCAGCCCGAAAATTAACTCATGTCCAACAGCCTGTCCAATAGCCTAATTCACCCCAATCTAACTCCTTACAATCTGATCCTAATACACCTCAGCCAAAGACTCAGGACATTACTCATCGTTTTCTAGTTTATTCAAGGAGGAAGGCACCAGTGCAGGTTTAATCATCCTCTTCCTCTCCTATACAACCTGAGATAATTAATGAACCTATTTTTGATCAAAATACCACTAAAAGTTATGATCCTATTTATGATCATAGGGATTTTGACTTTCTTTTGCAATTAGAAAAGGAAAAAGAGCTTGTACCATAAAAAACCCTCTTTATCTATTTATTTCCTACAATAACTTGTATCACAACCACAAGACCTTCCTTACTAGCCTAAACACCATTGCCATTCCTAAAATTGTATCTGAGGCATTAGAAAATGAGGATTGGAAGATTGTCAAGCAAGTTGAGCTGGAAGCACTTGAAAAGAACATGACATATGATTTGGTAGAAATGCTAGAAGGGAAGAAAACAATGGGGTGCATATGGGTGTTTACAGTAAAGTACAAACAATATGGTTCGTTAGAGAGATACAAATCAAGGTTGGTGGCCAAGGAGCACTCTCAAACTTATCAGATAGAATACCTTGAGACATTTGCTCATGTTGCAAAGATGAACACTGTGAGAATCCTATTGTCATTAGCTGCCATCAGGGGTGGAAATTACCGTAGTTTGACATAAAGAATGCCTCATTGCAGGGATCTTGGGGAGTAAGTGTACATGGACATCCCACTAGGATTTGGTCCCAATACTGGGCAAGCAATGTACAAGATAAAAAGGTTGTATATGGGATAAAGTAGTCCTCAAGAGCCTGGTTTGGGAGATTTACCAATGTGATGCTAAAGTTGGGTTATAGACATAGTTAAGGTGATCATACATTGTTTGTGAAACATTCGCCTTCAAGGGGAGTAATTACTTTAATGGTTTATGTATATGATATCATTGTTACAAGGGATGATTTGAAAGAAATTGATGATCTAAAGAAGTGTTTGGTAAAGGAGTTTGAAGTTAAAGAACTTGAAAGACTAAAATATTTCCATGGTATTGAAGTGGCACATTCATCGTAAGGAATTTTCATATCTCAACAAAAATACACTATATACTTGTTGACGAAAAATGGAAAACTGAGGTGTAGACCAGCATAAACACTAATAGAAGTTAATCACAAGCTTGGAGATTCAAAACAAGATACAATAGTTGACAAAAGCTCATATCAAAGGCTTGTGGGAATACTCATTTACTTGTCACACACCAGACCAACAATGCCTATGCAGTTGGAGTTGTGAGTCAATTCACGCATAATCCTAAAGAATCACATCTAAGGGTTGTAACTCAAATTTTACTATATTTGAAGGGCACACCAGAAAGAGAAGTTTTATTTAAAAAGGAGGAAGCTTGACTTTGGAAGGATATACAGATGCAAACTATGTAGGATCCATAGTTGATAAAAGATCCTCATGGTACTGTACTTTTTTGGGAGGAAATCTAGTGACTTAGAGGATCAAAAAGCAAAATGTTGTGGTCAGATCCAGTGTAAAAGAATAATTTAGGACGACGACACTTGGAATTTGTGAATTATTTTGGTTGAAGATTATTTTAGAATATTTGAAAATCAAATGGGACGGTCCAATGAAGTTGTGTTGTGATAATAAATCAACAATCAACATTTATCATAATCCAGTTCAACATGACAAGACAAAACATGTTGAAGTGGATAGACATTTCATAAAGGAGAAACTTGACAGTGACCTAATTTTTACTCCCTATGTGTCCACTAGAGATCAAGTTGCAAATATACTTAGCAAGGGGCTACTTGGGAAGTATTTTCAAAACCTAGCAAGAAAGCTGAGGATGGAGGATATCCATTCTCCAGCTTGAGGGGGAGTGTCAGAAAATAAATTTCTAAATTAGAAAGATTATGTGTAGATACATAAGATTTTGTGAATATGTTTTAGTAATTAAAATCCATAACTGTAAGGGATTATATCATTCCCTAGAATTAAGTACTTTCTTATCTTAAGAGTTTCCTAAAGCTAAGATTACAACTTGTATATATAACTGTAACACTTCTACAACAAATATATTGAGAATTACTCTAATTTTATCAATAACAATATGTAAGATTTTTAAAGCATCCCTTTTCCTTTTCTTTTTAAATTGGAGTGCAACTCTTCTTTGAAATATCAAACTTGAATTTTCTTTTTTGAGATGAGAAAGTTAAATATGTCAACCTTAATAGTAACCATACTTTGATCTTGTTGAAGTGAAATATTAAAATCCAATAACTAAAAACTAGAATAACCGCATAAATTATGAGTTGATACATAAAATCATACTTTGATCAAATATTCTATATTTTAGAGGCCTATTGTCATAACACAACTATCTTCTTTTCCATTTTCTGTATTGTACAATATCTGCTGCTTCTCTCTCCCCCCCCCCCCCCCGTATCCGTGTCTCTATCTCTCTCCATAGCTCAATCTCATAGATATATAACAACACACAGGCATACACATGTATCTCCCCTCTTTTAATTGTAAAGCTTCTAATGTGCAAGGTTCTTCAGCAAAAAAGACAAAGACAAGGATGAAGGTATTAAAAATATGCAACCATGAATTAGCATTATGCGTATATTTCAAGTAAATATGTTCCTAAAGATAGTTTTAATCAGATTTTTCCTTGTTTTCAGGAACAAAAAAGACTTCCAACAAAAAAAAAATCCCAAATCTAGTGATATTGTGCGCAAGGAAACAAGTTCAGAAGTATTACAATCTGATGTAACACCTGATAAAGATAATGATACTTTTTCTTCTGACAATGAGGGAAGCTCAAGTGCTAATTCTAAATTTCTATGGTCCAAACAAGTACTGACCTGTATAACAACAGTGAGAAAGATTCCCCTAAAGTTCCTATATCTGGGTCGTTGGATACCGATGTGGTTAAACATGGTGCTGATCAGGAAGAAGCCTCTGCGATTGTCAACAATGCAGATGCTTCATTATCAACTTCAAATGTGAGCTTCTCAATGAGAATGCTTCTGATGTTCAAATGTGAGCTTCTCAATGAGAATGCTTCAGTGAAGATCATCTAATTAATGGTGGCCAAGATACTGAATCCCAAATTGCAGATGTCCCTTCAAAGTCTGAACAAGAGAAGTCACAACATGTAGTTGTTGATTCTCATGTTAACTCTGAAGCTAAGTTAAAAGAAGACGATGTTAAAATTGAAACTCCTGTGAATCAAAATAAACTACAAGCGCAAAATGTTGTCACTCCTCCAAAAATGGCCCAGGACCAACTTGATGAGGTAACAAATACACTCAACTCTAAAATTGTAGTTGATGCTGGAATCTTATCATGTTGCAACCATTTAAAAGTCCTTTTCACTGGTCCTATGGTTTTCATCCAGGCTCAAGGACTGCTTAAAACCACCAATTCTACCGGTCAATCAAAAAAGGCAAGACTAGCTCGGGTAAGCTCCCTAAATTTATTGGTTTTCCTTTTGGTGCTGAATATTGAGACTAATGTGTATTCAAGCAATTGAATTTCACTCTCATGTACTACCTATAGAAAATAAGAGTTCAGTACCTGACCATAGTGGGTGGATATGTGAGTGGGTTGGTAAATGTTTGAGTACCCTGAACAAAATTTTGTTATGAATCAGAATAAGCTGCACCCTTTGGATAAAATCATCATATCTGTTTCGTTTCCTTCAATTTGTTAATTGGTTTTATAAGATCTAATTTGTTATCAACACTCTTTTAGTGCATCATATTTGTGGCCATCCATCTATTAGGCCGAGACTTGAGAATATTTCTGTTATATTGCTTGGAAGAATGTTCTCGTTTTAAATCTTCCTCGTGAAAAAAAGTAACCTTTAAAAGGAACCAACCTAACTTGCAAATGAGTGTGAATGTTTTTGTGCCTCCTAATTAGCCCCTCGCAGATTAGATGTTTTGATGCTTTTTTTTTGTCTCCTCTTTCTTTCTTTTTTCTGATTTTGTAACAAATTGTTCTACCCTGATTCCTAGGTTTGTGATGGACTTTCATCCCGTCTTCAAGAGTACAAATTTGAGAATGCACAACTTGAGAAGCTTCTAATTGCTGAGGTAATTGGTTCTATCATTTTTCTACTTTTGGGCATTTTTTCAAGTTATAATCATGTTTGTTACGCATGTAACTTAAGGAATAAATTTAGGACTAAATTGCTTCATTGACAGAGGGAGTTGAGTAAATCATATGAATCTTGTATAAACCAACTGCAACAAGAGTTATCTGTTTCTAAGAGTGAAGTACCAGGAATATAGTCAAATAGGATACATCCACTAATAGAAAACGGGTTCACCAACTTTAGCATGTCATATTCAATGGTGATGATCATTCATAGATTGACAAAGTAAATAAATTTGAATGTCATATAATAGGTTCAATCAATAGATCACGTGAGCATGTCAGTGACTATATCAAGGAATTATAATTAATCGAAGATATGAAATTTCAAAAGTTTCGAGGAACTACGGTGTAGCTTACAAAAGAGATCTAAAAAATATAAAAGAAAATGTATCTGTATTATGAATCAATTAATTTGTAATTTTCCTAATTTTCTATTAAATTTATATTGTTAATATATATACTTTTTGAAAAAATATTTTTTCATACATCACAAGAATAAGTTACTCTATTGAATATTTTAATATAAAATTACGTATACAAAGCATGGTTTTCAGAACCGGACCGGTTAGCAAACCGGCCATGCTACCGGTTCACTGGTTCAACTGGTCGAACCGGTCCGACCGGACGACGTCATAATTATTTAAAAAATTAAATAAAAATACCAAAAATATTTAATAAAAAATAATTTTTTATATCACAAGTCATATTCAAAGCAAGTCATAACATATATAAATTAAAAACCATAACATCAAGTGAAACAAAATGATTCAAATTAAGTACAACAAAATATTTAAGATAAAACATATTAAATAATAAATATAATTATATAACTATAATTAAAAAATAAATTTGGGGCTAAAAAATCATAACAAAATAATATTGTTTGGTTTAATTTTTTTTAAAAACAATCTCACATGGCTAAGAAACATAGAAGAGCATCCCAAAAGTCTAAAGAGTAAAAATATGAGAACAAAACAATCTCACATTGCTAAGAAACATAGAAGAGCATCACAACTAACTTCTATAAATAATAGAGGTAATTTGACATTCAAAATCATGGAGCCTTTTGGTGAGCATTGAGTGAACTATTCTTTCACTTCAATCAAGCTCGAATTTTAGGCTTCAATTGAGCTTCTAATTTTTTTTTTAGTTCAAGCCTTTTTGAGTTCGAGTTGCAATATTATATTTCGAGTTCGATTTGAAATTGATAATTTTTAACTTGTGAGTTTGAGTGGAGTTGAGCTTACTTTTAAAGTTTTCAAGTTAGAGTCGAGCTCAGCAATACTCGAGTTCGACTTGGCTCGTTTAACAAACGACGTTTGGTTTAATTTTTTTTAAAAAAAAAAAAACAAAATTTCCGGTTTTTTTTTGTTTTCAGCCGGTCCGATTCGAATAGTTCAGCGGTTCTGGCCGGTTCGTAGCGGTTCAACCGATTTAGATTGAACTGGACTAGACAACGATTCTCGGTTGAACCGGCCGGTCCGATCTGGTTTTCAAAACAGAGATACAAAGCAATAACTCTCGGATGTTTTAGTTTTGTATAACCCTAGCATCTTTCTTTTCTCTAGCCTTTACCTGCCATTTTTTTTTACTTATAGGTGGCGACATCAGTTTTGATCCTAGTCAATAATCGTCTGTGTTTTTTTGTCTCTCATTTACTTTTTTATATGTATATTTTATTTTGTGTGTTTTTAATTTTTAATAATTCTACATGTATAATACATTTTTTTTATTTTCATGACACGTTTTCGGTCATTTGACTATTTTTTTAGGGTTAGAATTGATATCATCCTGACTGATTAACATGACATTTACTTGTTATCTTGTTGATCTTCCTTACTTTGGACCTACGGATTAGACTTGAATACGCGATTTACATTCGTAAATAGTTTTCTTATAGCGCTCCACCCTGATTTGCGGTTGTTGGTGGTCTTTCGGAAGTTTAATCCTCTATTGTGATTCGTTTGTTGATGCAGTCAAATTTATTCATACTAATCTTTTGTTCAAGTTTCTTGGATGAATTTTAATCTTTTTCTTATATGATCTTTGAATGAACATGAGTGACAAATTTACTTTATTAATGATTATAAGAAATTACTATAATTATGTGTTAAGTTTTCGAACTTCATTATAATTTAAAATATTTTCTTCTTTTAATAAAACTAGTCACTCTATTTGCATTAGAAAAACAATAATTCTTGGAATTGGAATTGCGTGCGGATATTTTAAAGTTGTAATTATAAATATTTGTTACAAATTGGGTTGTGAACGAGACAAATGAAATTATAATTTACTCAAGTTTGATTTAATTAAAATTTTTTCAACATTTAATTTGAATAGATTTAATTTAAGCTTAAATTTAAATTCTTAACAAGTTAAAGCGAGTTAGTTGATATTCGATTTGAAAAGCCAACAATCAATTCAAAAGAAATAATATATTTATTTTTTTAATTTTTTAAATTAAATTATTAATAATGTCGAAACGATTTTTCCTTAAAAGGTGAAAAAGTGATATTTTGAAAATCACATCAATTTTTAACTTATCTCGTTCAATTGATTTTTAATTTAAAAACAAATGTAATATAAAAGACCTCTCGTTTCGAAAAATTTTGGATTTCCTTTACGATCTAAAAATACGGTTCGAAGAGTCGCCACCAACCTTTGATTAGGGTGTGATTGGGCACCCAAAAACGTTTTGTCATTTTAAATAAAAATTAATTTTAATTAAAACAACAAATTAAGGTCTGCGTTACCAAAATCCGAGTTCGGGAGTCGGTTGCGTGTGGGGAAGGATTAGCATCCCCACGTAAATCGATACCTAGTCGATTAATTAACGTCCTTGCATTGAACTTTACAAATTCGAACTTAATTTAATTTTTGATCCCATAAAACAAAAATGTAAATTTAAAAACATTCAAAAACACTCAAATAAATTAAATTAACATTACCGAGTCATTTTAGAAAGATAAAGAATGTTCGATTATTTACAAATATCGAGACCAGATCTTAAAAGTTATAACAACCTTTTCTCGATAAATTTAAATAAACGAACATTTCCTTTTCTTTCGTTCCCAAATTTTAGAGTGATGAATCAATTTTTAGACGTCACTAATGGATACACTTTTATTTTAAAATCATTAAAAGCGGACCTCAAATCAGTTATGACTGGCCACTTAAAACAATTTTAAATTAAAAGTATATTACCCTTAATCCAATTATGTGGTATGTTGAGTTATGCAAATGAGGCTATCATGCAAATTGTGCAAAAAAGGATGTCGTGCCAAAATTAACAAAACAAAATTAAAAATATCATACAACGTGACATGCAAAAAAAATTATGCACATATGTTTCTAAATTTAAAATTATAAATTATGTATACTAACCTATAATGTACAAATGTGATTCAAATATAAAAATAAAGACATGATATGCTAAACTATAAATTTTAAAATATATATATACATATTAAAAATGACTAAATTAAATAAATGTAAAATTCAACATACAAATAAAAAATAAACCAGGGGACCTAAATATAAGTATACGCATAAAATAAGATCTTATACGCAATTTATCTTATTTAGTTTAAGTCAAAACAAAATGCAAAATAACGTAATAGTGCCTGCACATTCGGGAAAGAAAAAGAAAAAAAAATCTCAAGATTAAAATGAATAAGGGACTACTCTGCAAATATGCGCCTAAAGTGAAAGGGCTTAAACCTGATTTATCCCTAAAGTTATTATATTTAATCTAATAAAAAAAACTAAATTAAGTTATCACTCAGACTTCCCTCTCCCCTTTCTTCCTCGCACACTGCCCACGCCAGAGAAGGAAGGCTACTGTCGCTCCATCGCCCCTCACCAGCGGAATAGATGTCGGCCACTGCTCGACTGCTCATCAAAGGGTCTACACTCGCTCCGGTCACCTCTTAACGGCAACCACCCTAAATCCCGACCACTACTATAATTCAACCGAGACACCCAACATCCATTCTCTATCTCTTCTATCTCTTCTCTCGATCACTCACCAAATCTCAGTTTCTACCACCATTCAACCTCCTCGGTAACCGACGCTCACTCTAACCATCAACCCTAGCGTTCAAAAAGCCCAAATAAACACCCAAGGTCATCTCTTCAACTCTACCGAAAACCCCCCAAACCTTCAAAGGATTAGCTATCCGGTTGGGTAAACGTCGACAAACACCCCGACGCATTGCAAGGTAGACTATCGAGACTCTCCTCACCTAGATTTATAATGAATCTATTTATCTAACACAATCCTTTATTTTCAACAGTATAGACTCAAATAGCTAGGAGGCGAAACGAAACGAACTACAATTAAGGCAAGCATTTAAACTATCTCCTTTACCTTTCTATTAGTTTCAAATACGAAACAAAAATTAAAGCTTCAAAAG